CGGTGACCTCCCAAACCCCATGTGAAACTCCGAGAGAATCCCATGGAAGCCTGGTATTAACAAAGCCTGCGGGACCCCTGGAAGCCTAAACACCCGAAGCCCGAAATCCCTAAGCCCTAAACCCCTGATCTAGGGTTTAGGGTTAAGGGCTTAGGGGTTTAGGGTTTAGGGTTTAGAGTCCCTAAGCCCTAAATCCCTGATCTATGGGCCGTAATCATATTAAGCTTACGCCTCTGCACAATCGGCCAGCGATTCACGCAGCAACACACCGCCAGCCCACTCAGATCACTCATCATCGTCCTATGGGAGCCAGGATTAGGGGGACCCTTGGGGATATAGACCCTCTCAATAAGGTCCCTTTTAAGAGAGCCAAAAGTAGGGTTCAGAAGGGGTGCCCTTTAAGGGGTACCCCTAGCAATACTACCTATCCTAGTCGGAGCTCGCTGGTGGCTTCCGGCCGCCCTTCATGGACGCAGCGATGGCTGGATCATCCCCAAGGGCTCCGTGTACCTTTAGAGTAGATACTTAGGCCTTAAAGTACCTATATAGGGACCCCTTTAAGGCCTAAGTATCTACTATAAAGGTACATGGAGCCTTTGGGATCTGCACCCGGTCGAACCCCGGCAAAGTGCGCTGTCTGATCATCTCGCAGAGGCGGGCGTCAGCACGCACACTCTGCCCGCACATGACCTCCCAGTCCACCGCCTGGTTGACCTCGAAGTACATGTCCTCGGACGGGGGGAAGAAGTGTGGCATCAAGCCTATCAGGTCATCGTCGCCCACCTTCTTGTCGGGGAAGAATCTAGTCATATGGGGACTACTTCAAGGGGACTGCTAGAGCTAAACATTTCGACGCCTCTGTTGAACCGCACCTGAATCCAAAAACAGTAACTTTACAGGAACTCTAAAAGAGGAATTCCGAATAACCAATCCTAAAGAAGTATTGATATACGTCAAACTAGAAGAAGCCGCAATTGTGTTGCTAACCATACATACACATAAATAAACAAATAAACACATAAATATACATATGTATATATATATACACACATCAACCGTGAACCGCGAAACACCAAACCCCGAAATCCTAAACCCAAACCCCTACACCCCTAAACCCCTACCCCCTACACCCTTAAACCCCTACACCCCTAAACCCCTGCACCCCTAAACCCTAAACCCCTACACCCCTAAACCCTAAACCCCTACACCCCTAAACCCCCACACCCCTAATCCCTAACCGCCTACACCCCTAAACCCGAAGTCCTGAAAGCCTAAATCCCTAAACCCCTACACCTCTAAACCCTAAAACCCCCCACCCCTAAATACACCCCTAAACCCTATCAACCCCTAAATCCCGAAGTCCTAAACCCCATACACCCCGAAACCCTGTCAACCCCTAAATCCCAAAGTCCTAACAGCCTATTAAAGCCGTGGCGTGGGGCTGGACAGCTGACGCCCACCAGGCTGACCAGGCTGTCGTGCCATGAGATCCAAGGCATGGCTCTCTCGGAGCCCAGTTACATACAGGGTTTAGGGTTTAGGGTTTAGGGTTTTGGGTTTAGGGTTTAGGGTTTAGGGTCCCTTTGAAGGGTCTAGGGTTTAGGGTTTAGGGTCCCTTTGAAGGGTTTAGGGTTTTGGGTTTAGGTTTTAGGGTTTAGGGATTTGGTTCCCCAAGGGTCCAAAGGACCCTATAATCAGGTACCTAGGTTTCGGATAGTAGTTATGTAGGTTACTACTTGGGGGAGTATATGATTATTCCGTGCTTGGGCCGTTGGGGTTACATACAGGGTCCTTTTCAACGGTGTCGATCCGGGCTCCGTTAAAGGGTTACTATAAGGGGCTTTGGGTTTAAGGTGCAGGGTTTAGGGTATGGAGTTTAGGGTCAAGGATACGTTTGGGCATTCTTGGGGTTCTGTAAGTGTGTTCTCTTTTCTTGGCCTAAACCCTAAACCCTAAACCCTAAACCCTAAACCCTAAACCCTAAACCCTAAACCCTGAACCCTAAACCCTAAACCCTAAACCCAAAACCCTAAACCGTTAAGTGTGTTCTCTTTTCTTGGTTTTCAAGGGGTTTTAGATTTTTTCTATAAAAGGGTCTAGGAGCCCAGTTGCCTCGTAAGGCCCCAGAGACAGAGGGCCCTGGGTTCTTGAATTCTGGGTTTAGGGTTTAGGGTTTAGGGTTTAGGGTTTAAGGTTTAGGGTTTAGGGTTTAGGGTTTAGGGCCACATGTTT